AGGCAAATTATTATTTAAAAACATAAAAAAATACATTAAATTATATATTTGAGGACTGTTTTTTAAGTAAGGGCTGTTTTGTTGTGTACACTAATAGGTGTCGTGTGCGTCGCAACGATTGCTTATATCATGTCCCGGCATTCCTTGGGAACAACTGTCAGTTACAGCTGTGTAGGCAACCTGTACTGTCAGTTCTATGTCTTTAAAATGTTCAAGTTCAATATATCGCTCGCCGCGTATGAGGTACTGTCAGTGATACGTTTTTAGTCGTAAAAAACTTGTCTGCTGTAAACATTCATCGACAGATTTGTGAAACTTACAAAGCTTCCTATTGGCATGATGACAGGAAAATTTGCTACTCCATGATTCTCTCCACAGATCAGTCCCGAGTCTTATTGGACTCTTTAGGCTGGGAAGTTTTGGACCTCCTCACAATACATCCCAGACCATGAACTAAGAGATTTTCATCTTTTCCGTTGTTTCAAACATCATTTTGGCGACAACCAGTACAACAATGATCACGTAGACGTAAAAACGGCCATGATCTCTTGGTTATCGGAGCAGGCGACAAGTTACTATGGAGTGGGTATTTTAAATCTAGTTATAAGGCATGATGAGTGTTAAAGCAAAACTATTTTGAAAAAAAAAAAGAGAAACATTTGTAGATTCAAAAAATAAATTTGCTTCTTGAAAATTTTCATTCGTTTGGTTTTTATTTTCAAACTGCCCTCACTTAAAAAACAGCCCTCGTATATATGACTTACTGTTTCTTATGATGGCACCTTCTTTCGCTCATTTGAACTTATTACTACCTCTACGACTACCTTTTTAATAAATTTAAAAAAAAAATAACCACTATGATTAAAATAAAATTACATATAGTTAAAACTACTGAAACTACTACTTTTTGTGGTTTAATAGAGGGTGATTATAAAATACTTTGCCAACATATATCCCTCCGGAGAGCATACCATTTGAGTGAACAGAATAATATTTTGTTCTTATGTAGGGTAAACCAACCAGTGAAGGAACACTACCCAGTGAAGGAACATTTCATATATATTGATTAAAAATAAGAATTTGAAAGTTTTTCTTTAGANATTTGAGTGAACAGAATAATATTTGGTTCTTATGTATTATAATAATTGTGCTCCAGATGACGTTACAAACTATTACGTAATTTACAGTTACATTGAGAAAATTTCGAAATTTTCAATTGCCAACACCCACTTCTTTCGTCGAATCCTGGAAATAAAAAAACACTTAAAATGGAGTTGGAAAAGTATTTTATAAAGCAAGAATTTGCAACGTTGAACTTTTGCCATAGTCCCTATTTTTCATGACCGCTACCGAGAGAAGAGTGTGAAAAAGTCTTGATAAACAGAAAAGAAACTATGGGCATGCCAGAAATTTGAGGACATATCAAAAAATTTTAAAATATAAAATGATCATTTTTTTTTTCTGTTTTTGAAGGCTTTTACCACACTCTTTTCTCGCATTCGTTAAAAAACCATTTACGTTTTAAAAATACGATTTCTAATTTTTGATACTGTAAAGAATTTGTTTCAATAAAAAAAGAGGATGCTGTTATTTGGGGATTTTACTGCTACCGTGAGAGCTGCGCAATCCTTAAGGGCAGATATTATTTTGTTTCATAACCGTCATTGAAAAGCCAACCCAATTTCGGGCTGCTAATATTCAACTCCGTAGCTTTGTAATTTTGAACCCAATCCAGAAGAGAAAGGAATTCCTTGATCAAGGGAAAAATTTGCCTTTGTAGAGGACTTTTTTTATTTTGTTATACGCTTTGTTTTGTTTTTTGTAACTAACTCGTATTTGCGTTACCTCCCACGGTTAGCCTGACGACAAGAGGACTCTAACCCATTATTCGTCTACCACTGAGGATATTTCATGTCAGTACTGTGGTCGGTGCGAGCTAGATGCGGAATTCGTATTGACTAGCTATCGCTGGGATTCGAACCCGGTTTACCTCATTGGAAGGTGAACGCTCTGTCCCCTGAGCCACCACGGCTTAAGCATATATAATACAGATTCCGCCCACTCTAACGGTATGCTCTCCAGAGGGTAATATGTGGCAAAGTTATTTTATAATCGCCGTATAAAGTAATTGGAAGAAAGGATTTAAAATTTATTTTAATACAATTAGGGCAGTTCTCGGGCCATAAAAAAGGCTGAATACGGGAATATTTAGGAAACAGCTGGGAATTGTTTTAAAAATTGCGGTTTGGGAGAAATATGAATATTTGAAGAGTTGAGTCACTCTGAGATGAGCTTTAGGCGCCATCTTGAATTTAAGAAGGGGAAAAAAGAGTTCAACAGGAGAAAAACTATGTTATTTGTTTCCTATGTAATTTTCTTTATTTTTTTATTTTTATTTATTTATTTATTTTGTATAGAATCATATATCTTAGAAATTAAGTCGATAGGAGTAACTAGTTCAAATTTAGAAATTTAGTAAATATGAAATATAAAACAGCTTACAGCTTTTGATTATACCTATATTTAAATTTGATATTGTACCGATAAAATGCGGTATTTTTTCCCTGTATATATTTTTATTCTTAATAAGATAAGATGAAAACAAAGTCCATAAAACTAATTGTTTGAAAGTTATAGGAGTTATAAAGGTTTCTTGTATAAAAAGTGGAAATGAAAAAATATATTTTATAAATGTGACATTTTCACACACTCTAAATTGTTTGTCATATTGACTTGGATTTTATCTCATTCAATTCAACGTAAAAAATACATAGGAACCAATACTTTTACTCTTATTATTTATGTAGTAATATCTGACCTAGTATAACCTCGTAGGTACATAAGTTCAAAATCTTCAACAATTTTTGAACTATAAGATTTATCGATTTTGTTTTGGTCCATCTCGATTATTAAAGAACAGTAAACAGGAAATAATATTTACTTATCGTGATTGGTATTTTCAATATAAAAATACACTCTATAACAAAAAAATTGACGCACCAAGAAGGAGTTGTCCGATTGAAACGAAAATTGGTGGATAGGAAGACAATGTACAGAATAGTAAATGATTAAAATTTCAGAACAATTGAATAATTTATTGCAGAGTTACAGTAACAAGTTCAATAAGGTGTTGACCCGCCTCTAGCCTGGATACAAGCTGCCACACGGCGTGGCATAGACCGATAAAGCTCCCGGATGGTCTCTTGCGGTATTTCCTGCCAAATTCGATCCAATTGTCGAACGAGGTCATCAACATTCCGTGCCAGATGCAATCGCCTTCCCATCATATCCCAGACATGCTCGATGGGAGAGAGATCTGGTGATCTGGCAGGCCAAGGAAGAGTTTGACAAGCTTGCAGACAGTTCATAGCAACACGTGCCGTATGTGGTCTGGCATTGTCCTGCTGAAAAACCAGCCCAGGGCGCTGCAAAAGGAACGGTAACAAAACAGGTTTTAGGATGTCGTCGACGTACCACTGTGCAGTAAGTGTACCTCTAATGACGACCAAAGGGGTCCGGCTGTCAAAGGAAATGGCACCCCAGACCATAATGCCTTGTTGAGGGCTGGTGTGACGTGCAATAGTGAAGGCAGGAACCCCCCTCTTCCCTGTGCGTCTCCAAACACGTCTCCGATGATCGTCAGGACACAGTTGGAAGCGGGATTCGTCGCTAAAGACTGTTCAAAACATATCTGTTCAAAACATTCATGCATGCGAAATTTCAAAGCAATCGGGGGATTGCTTCTTGGTGCGTCGATTTTTTTGTTATAGAGTGTAGGTATAATCAAAAATTTCATTTTTTTTAAAACTTTTATCTTAATATCTTAATAAACCCTTTATAACTTCCAAAATATTAAGCCCATGGACGATTTTGGACTCCTTTGATTCAGTGAAAAAAAATAGTTAGGGAAAATATAGCAAAGTTTAGGTTTTTCCCTATTCCCTTTGTAAATTATGAATAGTAGTTAAAAATCTTTTCGGAAGAGGGGGAAATTTCCTGGTATCCTTATTTGTCCCTAACTATAACCTTTTAAAAAAATACCAGATTTACCCTAATTATTCAACTACTTAGAATCTTGCCTAATTAACTTTGTTACATCTTTACTTTTGTTATACATTGAGTCTTTGTTATAGTTCTTTGTTATGGTTACATTATACATTTCGTTTTTCTTAAAGTCCACTGGGAAATTAACTTTTTTTAATTCTTAAAATTACTGATCACATAACTATCAAAAGTTTTCTACTTAACTATTCAGTTATTTGCATTGCATCAAAGATAAATGCTAAAAATTTTGAAAAATATTAGCTATTTATACGTGTTATTTCCTTACATGGAAAGATGTAAAGATATTTTTCCATATGCGAATATTTTTAATCGTTCATAATTGGAAATATAAGCAGTTTATATTATACATTTATTTATTACTATGTATTATATTAATATGTATTATTTCCCAGAAAGACTTATATTTATTCTAGTGTATAGCTATATTTTTGATGATAATATATTTAAAATAAGAAAGTTATAATTTTTTAAAGAAAACTAACTCTTGTACACAAAGTGTTAAAGCCAATTATTACATTCATTGTAGAAATATGATACTTTTTAAAAAAAATATCTTTCTACAATAAGTCAAAGCATTTAAATAATTCTAATAATGCTTCAAATAGCATAAAAGAATAAAATTCTTCTATTTTTAAAGATTAATTTGCTGACATATTCATTTAGAAATTAATATTAATTTTTAACATTTTGTCAGTTTTAATTAAATATAAGCTCTCATAATAGCTTCATATTATCCGTATCACATTTTGTTGTTGTATCAAATTTCATGAGGCTCTTGTTTATAAAATTTGGCTTCTTTAAAAATAGTAACAACTTTATATTTCTTTTTTTGCTGTCAGAATAAAAAAATAAATAATTGCATCTTATTCTCACCTCTAGATTTGTGTTTGTAATACCAGAAACAAGTGTTATTGAACTTGATAAAATAGGCCTACCTTGGACAAATATCGCAACCTTGTTGCATAAATGCTCCAAGTGAAAACCAAAGACTGTTGTAGAGTGAAAAATCATTGGCAACTGAAGGACCAACTAAAGAATCTTCCAATCGCCACTCATGTGGTGAGAAGCGACTCACCAAAAACAAAACAACTGAGACTCCAACATATGCAAAGATGATACACATCCAGATTTCTTTTGAGAGAGGATTCATGAAAGAAAATACTCCCGGTTTCTTCTTCATTGGTTTCTTTATCATAATACTTATACCAAGAGACATAAATGGTTTTGTAAAATCTATAACACGTTCTCTTGCTGAAGTTATGGTTAAAGGTGCAATGGCCATATCAGCTTCCTAAAAGAAAACAAGTAAAAAGGTTAGTTTCATTCTGCAAATTCTTCGATAATGTCAGTTAAAGCCTACGTATGAGTGCCTAAAATTTTATTTTCGCATATCGTATTGCTTGACGGTCTCATCTTAAAACTGCGTTTCAGGAGATGATACTCCAAAAACTATTCTTAACGTGTCATCAATACCCTTCACAAACGATCAATAACTGGTTGCGTGCTGCACTACAGATGTCTCTGATTCAATTTCTCGGCACCTCTCTCATGCCTGCACCACCATCTATTTATCAGAATTTTTTACTTAATTTACAATATGGTGGGAGGAAGGAAGAAATATCTCTGAAGCATAATGCCTCAAACAATGAAGTCTTTCAGTATTTTGTTATTATTTTTAAATTGATTTTCAAAATCTCTCAGCCATTTATGGGACACCCTGTGTATAAGATGTAAATTAAAGATGAAGTGCATTAAATCACAAATACTTTTCATTTTTCCATAATATCATTTTTATTCCATTAATATTTTGCTTCATTTTCATACTTAACATAGCGAACGCTATTTAAAGATGGAAAAAATGCAATTTGATGTTGCTTCGAATGAAGTGCCTTTCATTTGACAAGAGAATACCACTGGGGAGAAAGCGCGACTAAGCTCAGAACCCCATGAATAGATGACAATACCACCCACTCGTGAAGCTACTATTAAAATTTAGACTTATTTCTGATAAGGAAGGAAATTTTCTCTAGATCCATAAACCCATAATACTGCTTAGAGACCGACTGCAGGACTTGCGATTCTACTGATTTTAGGAGAATGTTTTGAGAAATTTTATCGACTTCAAAGATCGAACTCCGAACCGATGCTCTAACCACAGGGCTTCCACGTTAGCGTAACTCAACACTCATGAATAACTGTTATAAACTCACAAATATTACGAAAATAATACTTCATTCGCTAAAAAACATTATTTCGCATAACTAAAACACATTTGAAGAACATCTTAACTCCCATAAAAAAATTTGGATAGTCGAATTCCTTAAGTTTATTTCTTTTTATATTATATTACAACTCGTTTTGTTATAGTAATGAAATAGTGCATGGCATAGATTTTTTCCACAAATTAAACTTACTACTTTTTATGAAGTAATTTTTATCATAATTACTAATAGCAGTTGTTACCTGTGAAATTTTTAAAAATAATGCAAACATATTATGCCCTATTTCATTTGAACTTGTGTTTCTTTCACATCTCACGTGACTACTGATAAATAATTATGAGTGAATCAAAAATATAGTAAGATTTACTAATGTCACGACGTTGCCTCGTGACAATTCTCGCTGTAATCGTTTGTTAATTAAACAGTTGATTAAGATCCCGTGGTCTCATCTCGCAATCGAATTCCAAGGGTCAGTTGAACTTTCTAGAAATTTGTCACAAGATTATGTTTGATTTGTCGACCTTCGGATGCATGATAAGACCACTAGATCACGTTAAACCCCTTGAAATAAAATATATAAATAAACTCCAAAAAAAGAATACACAAAATTCCTTGCGACACGCATATAAGAGCAGCTATGGATAAGTGTGCTTCTCCTTATATATTTGGTAGAATGATTAAATAATAAATAAAATATAAACCTTTTAAGTTTCATTAAATACCCGTCACACTAACAAAAAGTTCATTTACATAAAAATATAAAATTAGAGTTTACAATATGCAATACATATATTTACTTTACTCAATATTCTTGAGATAGTATTCAGCAGCCTCAAATAACAAAAACAGAAATCCAATTTATTATTTCTTTGTTTTTCTTTTTCTTAATGGCAACTTATCTGTGATAATGTCAATCATCACAAGTTTATTCTCTCCTTAATATAATTTTGTTTTCTTAAATTTGATTCACTTTTGTTTTTTGAAAATTTGCTTTACTTTTGTCCTCTTAATTCTTAATTTCTTGTCTACGAACTTCATTAACGTTCAGTTTATAATTAATTCTGTTATCAATTTACAATGTATAACTTTAAATACTGCATATTTTTTTATTAATTAATTACTTTTACAGATTATTATTATGCTTTATATTTTAAATATGCAATATTAATTTATTTATAATTGTTTATTACTGCATGTTTCTCTTTTTCAGTCATGCTCTGCCTTAAGATTATATTCTTCAATCTTATTTTTCACGTTCTGTAACCTGATATCATGTTGGTCCCCTTTTCCTTTAGCTCCCATTTCTTAGCAGGTGACACTTGCGTGGGAGGAATAGGACCCTTTTGCTGCAGCTGGACTCTTGGACCATTCACTTTAAATTTTATGTCTTGTCCCCTTCACCTCGTGACACTTTCCTTTTTTTCTCACACGGTAGGTGAACTTTTAATTGCGTACTGGATGGATATCGTCATTTTTAACCTTTTTGACCTCGCTTCCCTGTTCACACGAGGTAGTCGCGAACACGTGTTACTTTTTTATTTTATTTTATAACCGTCGTTGAACAGCCGACCCAATTTTATGGGTTTACGACTACTTACGTTCAACTCCGTAGCCTTGTAATTTTGAACCAATCCAGAAGACAAGGAAACTCCTGGATCAGTACCCCCAGAGGTATAACACGTAACAAGTTTTTAAACTTTTTTAAAGTGTCTTTTAAAAGTAATCAAATCAAGTACGGTATTGACCTAAAAAAAATGATATTAAATATTTCTGAAAAAGCCCAAGCTTTTTATCAAAACCATTGGTTTTATATATTTTTTGTTACACCTTTGCTTTACGCAATCTCAAAAACCGGTTATGAACTAATAACACGTGTTACTTGTATCTTCTCTTACTAGATTCTTCTATCGGCCAATGGTTTCTTCAGGGGTTGAACCTGAACAGCCCACTTTTTTTTTTCATTGGCCTTCCGAGTACCCCTTTTTTTCCCTCATTGGCTATTCACGAGGGACCCCTAGTTTTCTTAAGGCGATGCATGAGGAAAAAAAGCATACACTCTCTCTTAATTGATTATATGAATGACATTTATTTTTAATCAAAAAGATTTTTGTTGGGTGATGTACAAAAAAAATGCGAAATATCTTACGGAAATTTATGTAAGAAAACATGTGTTTAATGATTTACGAAAATTCTTATGCCTTGTGATTTCGCTTAATGAAACGTCCACGAAAATTTGTATGAGTGTTGGTGTGTGTTTACCGATAAAAGAAAAAGAAACAAGACGGATGCAAATAACAATGATCTGTATTCTTTTTACCACAGTACAGCATCGCTGTCTTATTGCCATGTTGGGTGAGTAGTCATTTTTTAAAAATAGTTAGCACAGATAATATCAATCTCACAAGAATGTGGTACCTTAAAATTTTTATATGCATTTTTCCTTATCATTTATATTAGTCGCTTTTGTTTTATTCCCTTATTTCTAAATGTATGACCCAATGGACCTATTGGGTTATTCGGTGTTCAACAATGATGGACCACCACTATTCGGCCTGTTTAACGCAATTTAATGTATAATATCTAACCTTGCCAATTTCACTTAATCTTTAATTTGTTTTAACTTCTCATGCATTCTTGTGGGGTTTACCTTGCTACATACACAACCTACTTATTTTTTTTTAGATTTTATGTACCTGAATTTAATTGTCCCACCAGTTTTGTGTATTAATCATTAATTTTATAAATTGTTTAGGCTTGCGTATTACTTTTTAATCTTAACAATATTATTTGCTTTTAATTCCCAACTTGCACTTTTTGAATATTTAAACTTTTAGACCTTAACAACATTTAAACTGAATATTTTAATATTTAAACCTTTAAACTTTAAGATTATCGTTCTTCGCCATGGAAAAGGCTGGAAGTGTTGCTCATTTTGCGTTGCCTGGTGACCAAAGTGACGGAGGTGAGCAATATTAACCACGCCACACTGCTGCAGATACCCGCTCATAGGGTAGGCCACATTCACACATCACACACAACAGAGAACAGCATACAAAGGAAAACATCCATGTCCTTATTCGATCCCTTGGCCATTGGCTTTGCTGTCAGGCCCGCTAAACGCTCGCCCACCTGGCCGGTAGTATAATTTTATTGTAACAGCACTAAAAGTAAAGATAATATTTTGATTGGTATAGTATATGTATAATAACAGAGATCAGTGGTGGAATTTAAGAACCGCGGTGCTTAAGTATATGTTTAAAATGTATGAATGTCAAAAAATAGAAAGTTTAATTTTTTTTAGTTGCACCTTATCTTTTTTTTTAATGTTATATCATATTCGTAATTTTCTTTCTATCCAATGGCATATTCATGCCAAATTTGGATCAAAACTATTAAATAATTAAGTATTTCTGAAAAGAATAGGCAAAAATTATCTTTTTTCAAATATGTGTGTAATCAAATTGCTTATATTGTACCAAATAAAATTGAAATTATATTTAGTAATTACTCGATTAATTACCTCATTTTATTTTAACTTTATTTCCGATAAAAAGTAAATCGTTAAAACAGTAATTAAAATATCCTGTTACCACACCAAATAAAATAGTTATCTCAACTATCGTACAAGTAACCTGATCGTAAAAACAAATTGAAAATCAAGCTTTATCATCGTTTCTTTAATGACCCTAACCATCAAAGCTTTATTGTCGAGCACTACAAAATATAAGTACACTAAATATTAAGAAGACGGTTATGAATTATTAGCCAGAATTTCCCGCCTAATAAAAGACCGTAATGCATTTACTAATGATAGGTAAACAAATCGTCTGCTTTCTTCTCACTATCGCAAAAGGGTAAAACACTGAAAGAATCCTTCCTCCGTATTCAGCGCCCCTGGGAAAACACTGAATAAGCGTGATGCTTTTAGAAACCTGTAAAGTGGCAAACGCAGGGTACATCAACCAGGGTAAAGGGGTGGCAGGAGCTGTTGAAATCCTCAGTACCCAGCCGTGTGACCCGAAGAGATAATTGCCCCTGATGACGGTGCTGCCGGCGTCAGAACATAGAAAGAGCCTACGTCATTTGCATATCCATTACAACATCCCAGATCCGTGTCCCAACACACTAGGGACACGGATAAGCAAAATAAGGAAAACAATTTTCCCAATTTTTCAGGAGATGTTAGAGATTCTTGCTTCACTGGCTTCTGAAAAATTAGAGAGACTTTTCTTGTATTTTGATTTTGTTAAGAGGTTCCGAACGCGATTTATTGTTCTTTTTTTTACTGCACTTCTTATATGTTTTGAGAGTTGTGATGTGTTCCTGAAGTTGACACATCTGAAAGCTTTACAAAACTAGATTCGTTTATTTCTGTTTCAAAAGAAAAGATAAAACTTGTCAAGTTTTACATTCATAAAAAGAAAAGTCAGTTAGAAAATTGAAAAACATGGACAAAACCTCATGTTGTTTTACTCAATCGGTAGCAAAGGTTTCTTCTTTATGAGCCTATTTTTAGAAAAAGCTAAGTTTTTTCTAACGAAAAGAAATTGAGAAAAGATAGTATTGAAGCAGTTTCAATCTTGTATTTTATAATATTTCGTAAACATAATGTTTGTTTGTTAAGTGAAAATAAAAATTCCTTAAGTGTATACCCCATTTTAATATGCTTACTTAAATTTACATTAACCACGAGTGTTGTCTTAAAAATTAACATTCAAAGTTTACCACAATTTTAAAAAAATAAAATAATTTCAAATGGCGTTTCTTGAAGAAATTGAGAAAGAATAATTGATAAAGCAATAATTTAGAAATTTAATTTTGAAAAATATATGTTATTTTTATAAATTATTATTTTATAAATTATAATTATTCTATGTAAAAATGCGGAATTTATCCATTCTTCTACCAAAGTCAAACTTCCATTTATTAACTTTTTAAGGTCCTTTTTTTTACTATAAACTTTTTCAAGATATTTTAACAAAATATTGATAAAACTTGCAACAAAAATCATGCTACTCCAAACATTTCTCAGAATTATTTATATTTTACTCAAATGCTAGCCAAACATAATTTCTAGAATACTTCAGATAATAAAAGACTTGCAGCTAGTTATTTTCAAAATAATAATAAAATTAAGATTTTTTGCTAACATGAATTAAAATACTGAAACTCAATTACTTAAAAATAACAACTTGTAGCTCCGGGCAAAATGGTTAGCTCTCACAAAAATCACTAAAAGGAGCAAAATTTCAAACTTTAAAATTCTTATTCTAGACAATTCAAACTGAATATTAATAAAAAAAGAAGTAAAAATTTACCTTTGGAGTGATTAATGTACTGTTAAAAATTTTGAGATACGTTGCACCGAAAATTAGTATTCATTTGCTGCATAAAATGGAGCTCAATTTTACCATATTTTGGTAGTTTTACTAGCTTCAAATATCAGTAGAATATTGCACCAAAAGTTAGTGTTTTGAAGAAACAAAACACTGATTTTCCTTCTTTTTCTTTAAAAAAAGTAGAGGAAGGTTGCAAAATTATTGGGTGTTTTTAATCAGCTCCAATGCAGTACCGTAACAAAACTATTTACCGTAAGAAGTTATTTTATGACATACCTCTAACCAAATTTAAAAAGGCAACATAAAAGAAATGAACTTAAATTCATGCAAATAAGCTATTTGGTTACTAAATAATTGAAACTAACGACCCCTCAAAACTGACATAATTTAATGACTAACACAAAATATAAACATACACAAATACTAACACGACAAACACAATACCTATTTGTACGACATTTTAAAGCGAACTAAACTGCATGAAGCATTTACTAATCACGTGACATTTTAAATTGAAATATAGATGGCAGCACACAATTCTTTAAACAGAAACATCCTCCCCCACTATGAACACTTAGGGGGTTCATAAAATGTTATTACATTCATTCAAACTTTAATTTCAAAAGTAATGCAGCAATAAATCAATTACTGAAAATTTTCAGTTTAAGAATCTGTACACAAAAATTAAAACAACCTTATATGAAATATATGTGAATCGTAATCAAACAATAAACAAAATTAATCAAATGAAATGCACTAAAAGACAAATATTAAACCATTATAAAATTTTGAATTGACAGAAAATTTTAATTAAGAGTTCAAAGTTCGTATGAGTTCAATGTTTGAAGTCTATTATTGGTAGTGGGCAAAGTTTAACAATAGGACGTTTTAACTCACCATTTGCAGTTTTTAACCTTACCACTCTGATTTTACCGTCTGCTCCTGGAAAGGTCTCTAGCACACGTCCCAACTTCCACTTCAATGGTGGCAAATCATCGTCTTTGATTAGCACCAGTTCATTTACAGCAAGATTTCTCTTTACTTGGAGCCATTTGGGACGCCTTTGAAGAGTGGAAAGATAGTCAGTTGACCACCGCTTCCAGAATTCTTGGATCATTCTTTGCATTAACTTCCATCGTTGTAAAGGTGTTATCACTTCCTTTGAAAGATCAGAATTAGGCACTGATGTCAGTGAAGTACCAATGAGGAAATGACCAGGCGTCAATGCCTCACAATCAGCAGGATCATCAGACAAAGGAGTGAGTGGTCGAGAATTAAGGCAAGCTTCTACTTCAGCAATTAGGGTTAGGAATTCTTCGTAGGTGAGGATTTGTTCACCGACAGTTTTTTTAAGGTGAGACTTCATAGATTTGACAGTGGATTCCCACAATCCACCATGATGAGGTGCCGCAGGAGGATTGAATTTCCAAATGATATTTTCCTTTGCAAGATAACCCTGAAATCTTTCATCTGAAGAGAGTGATGCAATTAAACGTTTCAACTCTCTATATGCACCAACATAATTAGTCCCACAGTCACTATGTATCTGATCAGGTTTTCCTCGTCGAGAAGTAAATCTTCTTAGCGTGGCAAGGAAAGCATCAGAAGTCAGATCACTAACGAGTTCTAAGTGAACGGCTTTTGTGGATAAACACACAAATAAACAAACATAGCATTTCATAGTCTTCACACCTCTTCCTTTTCTGGGCTTCACTAGGAAAGGTCCAGCGTAATCAGTTCCAACAACAGAGAAAACTCGGGAAGGTGTGACTCTTACTGAAGGTAAATCAGACATAAATTGTGTCAAAAATTTAGCATTTTGTCTATGACATTTTACACACCTGGAAATTATCTTTCTGACAAGATTCTTGACACCAATTATCCAATATTCTTGAGTTAATGCTGATAATGTCATTTGAATAGTTCCATGTAGATGGATTTCATGAAAATATCTCACAATTATCGTTGATAGATGATGACCCTTTGGGAGAAGTATTGGATGTTTTCGACGGTCAGAAAGATTGGAATTCTTCAACCTTCCACCAACTCGGAGAAGTCCGGATGAGTCAAGGAAGGGTGCCAAAGGCAACAGATTGCTATTTTTTGGAAGTGTCTTCTCCTTCTGCAGACTTTCCATTTCAGTACCAAAAGCATATTTTTGAACCATCTTCACAAGGGAATTTCTAGTATTCTGAATCTCTGCAGTTGTCAAACAACCACTAGCCTTTGCAGCTGGAAACTTGCAATTTAGAATAAATCTTCTACACCAGGCAAATACTCTTTGCAATTTAGTCCATGAGGAAATTTTATTTATGACGTTCATAATATCAGGCTGGTTTTCTTCCTTGCAAACATTCATGTTGATGTTCACGGGCTTGTTTCGTTTCTCAACAAGAATTTCATCGTCCAAGTTTTCGCTATTCAAAGAGCTGAAACCTTTATCATTATTCCATTCAGATTCTTCAAGTCTCAGCCATGAAGGGCCATGGAACCATTTCTCTCCTTCTTTCAATTTGCTTGCATTGCATCCACGTGTCAGCAAATCAGCAGGATTATCAATACCTTTGCAATGATGCCAAGATTTTGGATTTGACTTATCCTGAACTTCACGGACCCTATTGCAAACAAATTGCTTCCATCGTTCAGCCCTTCCCCTGATCCAATGTAAAACAATGAATGAGTCCGTCCAATATATATATTCAGAAACCATTTCCCCAAAAATACCATTAATATAATTACCTAGTCTAGCTCCTATTACTGTCGCCATTAATTCTAAGCGTGGCAAAGTTAACTTTTTCAAGGGGGAAACACGACTCTTGGACATCAAAAACGACACTATGATTTTCCCCTCATCATTGATATAACGAATATAGGAAACCGTCCCATATGCAACGAGTGACGCATCACAAAATATGTGTACCTCTACTCTTCGACTTCCTGGGCATGACAAAAAACAATACCTTGGAATGACTATGTCTTTTAAGTGCTTAACTTCTACACACCATTCAGTCCATTTAATTTTTAAATCTACTGACAACTCTTCGTCCCAATCTAAACCTCTTTTCCATATCTCTTGCAACAGACACTTGATCTTAAGAACGAAAGGACTAACAATACCAACTGGATCGAACACCATTGCAGCAGCGTGTAACACAAACCTTTTCGTATTTGCCGAATTATTTAAACTTTTCAATAACGGGGAAATTTCCAACGACAGATTATCTCCTATAGGGTTCCAATTCAAACCTAAAACTTTCAAACTACCACTAGAACTCTCACTAACATCACTAAAACCCTTTTCTATCCACAAAGACTTCAATTCTTCCGAATTAGAATTCAGCTTTCGTAAATTCATTCCTGCATCTCCCAAAATATGAACAGCTTCAGTCGATAAATCAAACGCCTCCTCAACATCATCAGCACCAAAATAAAGATCATCCACATAAAGTGAAGTGTCCAACATTTCAACACATTTAGGTGCATTTTCAAGATACTGTTTAATGTGCTTTTTAATTGTTGCGCTAAGAATAAACGGAGATGATGTACAACCGAAAGGAAGACGAGTCATTCGCAAAATTTTAAAGCTATTACTAGAATTATCTGAAAGCCATAAAAACTTTAAAAATTTCCTATCCTTTTCAGAGATGCCTATCATGAGGAAAGCCTTTTCGATATCTGCACTGAACGCTACTTTAAATTTTCTAAATTTAAGAATAATGTCTAACACATTAGGATTTAAATTTGGCCCTATTTCTAAATAGTCATTTAAAGATAAATTTTGCTTAGTTTTTGAGCTACAGTTAAAAACAACTCGCACTTTAGTAGTATCCTTATCATTTCGCACAACTGCTCTGTGAGGCATAAAATATTCCTCATTATCTCTAGTACATTCCTCGACTATTCCCTCGTTTTGTTGCTCTTGTATCGTAAGTTTATATTCCCTCGCAACCCAGTCATTCTTCTCAAAATTAGTTTTTAAATTATCGAATCTCTTTTTTGCTATCCAAAAATTGTTCGCAAGATCCTTAGGTGACCTTTTCCATAATAATGAAGTTTCGTACCTGCCATTAACAAACTTAAGATTATTTTCGAATTTGTTTATTAAATGCTTATCCTCAATAGCTATCTCATTTTCATCTCGAATGCCTAACAATTCTAAATCCCATAGTACCTGAACATCCGTAACTGAACTTAAATTTGTCGAAGTAGCACGGCTCGACATCTCTTTATTTTCCTCTTGAATTCCCTGTACCGTATAACCGAATATAGTGGGAATACAATATAAAGATTTATTTATTTTCTCTGCTTTAGAATTATCAACAATCTCCCAAAATAAATCAGCCCCGATTAAAATATCCAAACCTTGATTGAAATTCGAACATGCATCAGCTAAAACGAAACCTTTCGCTATTAAATCATTCTGTATTCGTGTATCTGGAATCGAAAGAGGTGCGGCTGTAATTGTATCTGTAATTAACGCCTCAATTTCAACAAAAATTTTAGGATCATTTCTATTCTTTAATTTTACTCGACCTACACCGTAGCTTTTTTGTTTTGTTATTACGGACCCAAAAGAATAAACAGATAAATTTTCTTTTCTTATTATTTTCACTCGCAGTTCATTTGCTAAACTTCGCGTCATCCAGGTTCTTTCGGAACCATTATCACAGAGAATTCTGACTAATTTATTATTTTTTTCAAAACATGCGACTACACTACAAGTTTGTAATAAAACACTATTTCTCTTTATGGAGGAGTGGCATTGAACAACCGCGTTTTCCGATGAATCATTCTCCTCGCATAATAAATAATGATGAGTTCGCCTGTTACATTTTATGCATGGCTCCAATTTCGTTTTGCAGAGTCTAGCAATATGATGTTTTGAAAAACAACGGAAACAACGATTTTCTTCTTTTAATTTATTTTTTCTTTCTATTACGCTTTGATATTCGCAAACTTCATGTTCACTACTGTCGCAAAAAATGCACTTTTTTCTATCGACTGTTGCATGATATACATTTTGCGCATTTCTATTAAAGTTACTTTTTTTAATAAAATCAGATTTCTTACGAAAATTCTTATTTTCGTTACTAAAACTATTGTTATACTCACGTGAATCAGATTTATAAATCGAAAGTGTCCTCTCTCTAGAACTTATTTCTTTTTCCAAAAATGAAAACAAATCTTTAAATACCCAATTATTTTCAGGATAATTTCGATTGAATTCTAAAACAATTTCCCTCGGAATTCTTTCTATTAGAATAGGACTTAATAAATTACCATAAGTTTCGGTATCTATTCCTAACGACTCTAAATTTCTTTTTTGTGACTCAGCACAATCAAATAATTTTCTTAAGCCAATTAAATCATTTACATTTCTAATAAAAGGTAATTTTAACAACTGATTAAGATGTGCTTGGATTAACGAGTTTCTATTACCAAATCGATTCTTTAAAAGCTTTAGAGCAATATCGTAGTTTTCATCCGTTAAAGCAAAACCGTTAATACAACTTGCTGCTATCCCACCTACATAAGACTTTAAATAGTTAAATTTATCTACTTTGCTTAAACAGTTATTGTTATGTATAGCACTTTCGAATTGATCAAAAAATTCTAACCAATGCGCGGGGTTACCATAATATTTATTTATATACAACTTGGGAAGTTTAACAGTTTTTATTAACTGCGCGTTACTACTTGAATTAGCTAAAGGGGGTGTATTTTCTCTACTTTCTCTCATACTTAAATCAACTGAAATATTTCCTTTCTCTTTGGCGCTCTAATTATCAATTACATTTATAATCTTTTGTTTCCATAGAACAATTTTCTCATTATATTCATCTGAAATCGAAACCTCATTTTCGATTTCACTAATGTCGCACAAAGCTTCAACCTTGCTATTTACACTTATAAGCTCGCTTTCTTTGTGAACTAATTGTTCTCGAAACTCTTTTAAAGCATTTGTTTTATCTATATCAGCCAAATCATCACACTCATTGAGATACGTTTCAATTTTAGTAATTAATTTGGTGACCTTATTTCTTAAAACTTTACACTTATCCTTTAACTTTTCAATTTCTGACATTTCAATAAATTGACAATAAAAGCACAATAAATCAGATCAAGAAAATAACACCAACCTTCACACTGGAACTATCGTCATTAGTATCAAGAAAATAGTATCAACCTCGTTCTGGAACTCAACATTGAAGCATCGATTCGACAACTCAAAATTTCATTGCTCGCTAATATATCCCGCTAACTGACACCAAAAAATGGTTACTAAATAATTTAAACTAACGACCCCTTAAAACTGACATAATTTAATGACTAACACAAAACATAAACATACACAAATACTAACACGACAAACACAATACCTATTTGTACGACATTTTAAAGCGAACTTAACTGCATGAAACATTTACTAATCACGTGACATTTTAAATTGAAATATAGATGGCAGCACACAATTCTCTAAACAGAAACACTATTTATCTAACTAAGTAAGTAGAAACTTGAAATAACATGCTTTAGTCGTTGCGATACACCGAGACCAAGTTGTAAATAAAGAAAACGTAAACAAATATCGTATAGTTTAAAATCAAAGTTTGGTGTCTTTTACCGAATTTTGATGCAGTCGGTTGTACTGTGGAAATATTTCTCGATCATACTTCCAATATATGGTGTAACTGAAATAAAATGATCTTTCGTTTAACTAGACTTTGGGATAATAAGAAACCAAATACTGGTTAAAGATTTACAGAGTTTTTTTTTGCAGTGTATTACAATTAGTGTCCATTGCAAAAACATAATTTTCATAACTCATATTTTGCGTAGAAAGAAAGGAATATGTTCGAATATAATAAAATGAATCCTGAAATTAAGAAAGTTTAAAGGATACATAAGAACAAGCTTAAAATCCAATCATAGAAAGGACGATTGTTTACTTTGTACGTTAAGTTTAAATTTTTTTAAGCCAACCAAATTTATAACAACTTTTAAAATCTGTTACATTAATAACGGTGCGCGTCTGGCGCAATACAATCGCTTACTTTCAACTAGTCAATCTCCAGTTATGAAGCTGTACATTCAACATATAAGAATTTTTTTCTACGAGTACATTAATTAAGTTGTTAATTTCAGAGAGGAAAGTATTCTAATTTAAGGAAGTGGCACATTGTGTAATATATGTATCGTACTCTAACAAAATCAATTTTTAAAACTACTTGCTTTTTATTATATTTGTTACTTTTATAATTATAATAGCAATTTAATGTAAAGTGCATACCCTTACGAAAAAAGTAAAGTGTTTTTGAAGTTGTTTTGAGTTTGTCAGATGTAAAAAAATGTAACTGTGGTAGAAAATGAGGCTATGTTTTGCTCCAAAAATAGCGTCATTAATAAACCTGAATTTCAACCTCATTTATACCTCATAAAATCATCCTTATATATGTAACTCAACGTTACTTTTAGTTGAGATTGGGAGAAATTATTCACACCTCAAGTATAAAATTATTGAAAAAGTAGCCTGAACACCTCAAAAATTACCTCTTTAAGCTAGTTGCTTTAAATTAGATTTTCAACAACCTCAAAACAAACTCCAGTAGGAAAGAAACCATACTCTTTGATTATATACCTTGAGAGGTCGATCTCTTAAGGTTCTTTTTTTTGAAGTCAACTTCAAATAGACCTAAAATCAACCCTGACAGCTATAAACTACCTCAAATAAACCTCAAAAACACCTTTAATTTTTGAAAGGATTCAAAATCTATTTGATAAAGCTTCTCATCAGACTGCAGATTTGCATCCACAAATTTATTTTGTTTTATTTAATTATTTTTAAAGCAGAACACACAATACGTTTACAATATTTAAATTTCCAAATTTTATTTAAAAAATAGCTTCTAAAGACTTGAAAAGGAATAATTATTAAATCAGTTCAAAATTTAGTATTTTCAAGCTCAGTAGTGTAAAATCTGCTTTATTTATTCAGTGTAATATTTTAAATTAAAAAGCCAAACACAAGAAAAACAAGTATTTAAAGAAATAAATTCTAGACAAAACTTTTTCAGTATTAATTAAAAGCAAATATGTGTCTTTCCTCTTAATATTTTATTTTAGCATGTCTTTTAGCTAAGAAAACTTTGGAATATATTATGTGAAGTTCTACATGTTCGTTATTAATTAAGATGTTGTTCAGATTTTTTTAGATTTTTAATTAAAATAAGTTTTTGATAGATTGGGGGGAAAAAAGACAGAATATTAAAAAATGGAGGAGAATTATTCCGCTGGCTTCCACAGCGAGTTAATCAAAATGAAAGTGCCATGAAATATGAGAAGAACAGAACTATAATAAAACTGCATGTTCCTGAAATAAGTATACCTTGAATTATTATTATTTTTTTTTTTTAATAAGCTTTAATAAATGTAAACTTTGAAGAAAAGTTAAAGCATTAGTTTTAAGTAGTAAAAATATTTTGTATCGTTATTTTTACTGGCGGGCAGCCGACCAGGTGGCCGAGTGGTTAGCGTGAATGACTGCGGAGCCGATGGTTGCGGGTTCGAATCCCGTTCAGGGCATGGATGTTTCTTTCTCTCTCTCTCTCTGTGTTCGATGTCCTTACTCCTTTGTGTGTGTAATTGTGTGAATGTGACCCGCCATTATAAACGGGTTTGCGGTTGTGTGACGTGGGCGACGCTGCTCCACCGCCGTGTCATCGCCACAGGTGCCCACTGGGTAACGAGAAGAGAGTAGCAGTCCTGGCATATGAGGCCAATGGGACAATACATCCCAAGTGCCCGACACTGAAGGAAAAAAAAGTCAATGGCAGTAAATTTTCACCCTTTCTTTTTATTATAGCAAAAAAAAATATTTTTAATAACACACTTCAAATTTTAAACAATCTTATTTTAAACAATAATTAGTATCTCGAAAATAACCTGCCGAAACTTTTGTTTCAGTTTTTAGGATAGCTTTTTGAAAACAGGACCAGACAGATATACGTGTTTCCTTTGTTCATTAAGTTATTGTTCCAACAGAGTTCATGTGTATTTTTCAATTATTCGTTTTATCATCTTCGGACTTAATTGTCTGAAATTTTTTGAACCTAAAAGTTTAAGACGCAATGCTCTAAAAACGTGCGTTAAAGTCCAGCTTCGTTTAATCAAGCTTTGTAGTTCATGTATTGTCAATGATATCACTTTAAATACATCACAATTATGCATACGTTGTTTCTTAACCCTTTCTGAATAACAACACTTCCCGAACAAGCCGCGATGCAGAATTTGAGAGAAAAATGATTGATGTTGTGATGCCACAATTGTCATTACATATTTCATAGCCTTTAAAATATCTTTAATTACTTAAACTTACTTTTTTAAATCATTCTTAATCGAATTATATTTAAATTAAATCAATTAGTTGATCTTTATAAGAGCGAACATAAAATATTTTATTCCTTTCTTATCGATCAATGTAACGGCTAACTTTTTATTTCAATACTAATGTAGACTCTATAATTCACTGTCGCGCCTAATCGAAAACAAAAATCTATTTATAACTCTTTATTATTAATTTCTTACAACAAATATGTCTCAGTTACATGGTTATTCTAATTCTCACAGTCGTGTTGGCGATTCGCGATTGCCAAAGTATTTTCAAATCTGATATTGATTATGGGATTTGTGGCGATGCTATCTTTCGNGGGGGGGTTGTCTTTAGTTTGGTTATGTTATATTTCGATAATTCGCCAATCTTAGATCTCTTCTCCATGCTCTTGTGTCCGTTAGAAACAAATTCATTCACTTCCAATTTCAAATTTGTGGCGACAGGGGGTGCCCTTTTGGGCCAACCGTTAAAAAATATCATTTTCATGCTAACAAATCTTCTCGATGTAGAGAATGTTATCTTGATCCCTTTAAGGGATTTCTTTCTTTTCATGATTTGGATATTTTAAATATGGCCATTTTGAATATACTAATTCTTACTTAATAAATCAAATTTTTACTTAAACTATTTTATTCATTTTCCTTGAAACAATACTTCAACCACCACTATAATATTAATAATGACGATCACCACCTTCTTAGGTATCAATTTTGTGTGATATTCGCCACTTGTTTACCATAATAAAAACGACTTTAATCTGATGATTGTTTATCAGAACACCAAGTCAACCGTTGCCACAAGCTCTTTCATGAAGGCCACAGTGAAGAGATCAGTGGTGCAACACCGGCACTTAAATATCATCGACAACCACTTAGACAAAAGTGTGACTTCAGTGACTGCGTAGCAGGAGACGATTCTAGAGGATATGACCTAACCATCTTTTTACAAACCTTGCTTCCATAACCTATCTATGCATCGAATCCAAAAAAGATATGTAGAAGACTCTATAAAACATAAGACGGAAACGTATTTGTGACTAAAACGTATCGTGACTATTGTAAATATGACTAAATTAATTATAAAAAAACTCCATTAAGCAATCAAAATACTACATTCCTTAATTCTATGAAATTTATGTGCAGAAAAAGTAGAAACAGATAAATAAAAAAACAATAAAAGAGCAATTACACAGTTCAGCATGGAGGATTTCTCAGTCATGCACACCTCCTTCTTATAAAATATGATGCGCACTGACTGTCATTCAAGGAACAGGAGAAGTTTCCACTTCAGTTGGAAAATTCACTTTTTTCGGGAGAACTATCTTAACAACTTCCCTTACCAACTTATTTCGAAGAAAAAAAATTAATATTTTTTTTATTTTATTAATTAATCCAATGAACTAAAACAAAACATAATGCACAAGTTTTAAGTTGAATTTTTTTGTGTGTAAGAAACCTTTGATTTAAAATCAGTTTACTATCGGGAAAACAGTTAAATATTAGTCTTTGTATGATAGACGACATAAAGTGATACTTTTCAAACGAAGGAATATCTCATTGTTATGCAAATTCAGAAAGCATCGCAACTCCCAAATAAAACTTCCAATCACATGATTTTTGCTTCCGACCGAGTAAAACAAAATGTACAGACAAATGATGCCTAGCGATGATAAATATTTGCAATAATCGGTTAATTACAGTCTGAATAAGCACCGAGCTGCTACATCCGAAACCAGACATTCGTTTGAAGACACATGCAAAAACATAAAATAGAGTGAAGTTCTTGGAGACTTGAAGGTTCTGACTGTTCCAATCTTCAGTTCTGACCTGATTTTCTTATACTTCATATTAAACATGCGCTTGAAAATTCTCCATAGAAGAACATAGAATGGAACAGTTGAGAAAAAATTAATAAATAAAACTGCTGCAGAGGCTTGAGAGGATATTACAGAAAATTCCTTCCACAACACCTTTGACGTTTGGAATCATTGTATTGACAATAAAGTTTTCTATTTTGAAATTCGAAATTCCTTCATATGTTGTATCTGACAGCCGAGATTCTCTCAGAATATCAT